TGACGGGTGACGGGGAGCGGGGAACAGGGAGCGTGGCCTTGCACAGGGGCTGGCAGCCCCTGTTCTGCTGCAGGAGCAACGCCGGCAAGAAGGACCCCCGGTGAGGAGGGGAGCATCACCCACCTCTCCAGGAGCAAAGGTGCGCTGGGTCCCCCCCACCCCACCCTGGGGTCCACTGCAGCTGGAGCAAGGAGCAGGGATGGGGCAGGCAGGTTAGTGCTGCCCCTCCTCGGGGCGTGCCGGTGTGGTTGGGGCAGGGGGACGGGGGGTCAGCCTGGCACGGGTGCCCACAGGCCCAGCAGTGCCGTCTCTGGCCAGGTTGGGGACAGCCTGGATGGCAGCTCAGGGGTAGGCAGAGTGCCGTGACCTCGCCGGGCACCTCTCCCTGCTCCAGCAACTTGGAGGGGTTCCGGTTGTCTCTGGGTTTCGCTGGGGCTCTTCTTCATTTTGGTTCTTCTCCTTCACACCCTGCTCCCTTCCCCACCAGGCAAGGAGAAGACAGTGGCCATGGTTGTGGTGGGGTTTCCTTTTAAGGGGCGCAGAAGAGCCCTTGCTGCCCAGGCACCGGAGCTGCTGGCTTAGCCCTTGGAGGGGATGGCGAGCCGAACGGGGCTGAACACCACGGACAGCCTAGAGCCGCTCTCCATCCCCAAGCAGTCCATCGCCCAGGAGGTGGTGGGCCTCCTCTGCATGGTCCTGCTCACCCTCACTGCCCTGGTGGCCAACACTGTGGTGATGGTCGTCATTCTCAAAACCCCCCTTCTCAGGAAGTTCATCTTCGTCTGCCATCTCTGTGTGGTCGACCTCCTCTCTGCCATTTTCCTCATGCCCCTGGGGATCATCTCCAGCTCCTCCTGCTTCAACAGGGTTATCTACAGCATTGCCGAGTGCCAGGCCTTGATATTCCTGAATGTTTGCTTCATCAGTGCCTCCATCCTCACCATCTCCATCATCAGCGTGGAGCGGTACTATTACATTGTCCATCCCATGAAGTATGAGGTCAAGATGACCATCAGACTGGCGGTGGCTGGAGTGATCTTCATTTGGGTCAAGTCTGTTCTCATCACTGTCTTGGCACTGGTGGGCTGGCCTCAAGGCAATGGGGCCACCAGCGCCCCCCCCAGCCGCTGCACAGTCTACTGGACCCCTGGTGCCCACAAGAAGGCTTTTATCATCATCTTCAGCATCATCTGCTTTATTCTGCCTGCCATCATCATCTTTGCTGTCTACTGCAGTGTCTACCGCGTGGCCCGGATGGCATCCCTGCCACACGTGCCCATGCCGGCACAGGCAGTTGCACCAAGACACCGATCCGACTCCATTGCCAGCCAAGTGACCATCATCACCACCAGGAACCTGCCGCTGCCAAGGCTAACGCCAGAGCGCTTTCTGGGAAGCAACAAGGCCATCCTCACCTTGCTCCTCATTGTGGGACAGTTCTTGTGCTGCTGGCTGCCCTTCTTTGCTTTCCACTTGCACTCCTCTGTCGCTGCCGGCACAGTGGGCGGTGGGCATGGGGAGATGATCGTCACCTGGATTGCCTACTCTTCCTTCGCCATCAATCTGCGGACCCGCCAGATCCGGGAGGAGCTTGCCCGGCTCCGGCGCAGCTGTCTCAACCGGCCACTGGGCCAGGAGCTCTGTCTTTCCATCTCAGAGGCTTCTGTCCAGGAAAACTTCTTGCAGTTCCTCCAGAGAGCAACTTGCACGCTGGAGACCCATGCCAGCTGCATCAGCCCCAGCCCGAGGAACAGACTGGATCAGACCAAGGTGGGCTTCCCCATCCCAGGTCAAGTTCCCGAAGAGAGCAGCTGAGAAGCAGGAAGCCCTGTCCCACCGTGCTGGGCAGAAGAGTGGGCAGGGGACCTGCTGAGGACCCAGTTTCTTGGATTTGGAGGGGTCCTTGTTCAGGTTTTGCCTCTTCTCTGAGCTTATGGTGGAAGATGGTTTCTCTACCCGGGGAGAAGGCAGCAGATCTGGGGAAGCCTCATCTCCCTTCTGCAGGCTGGGATTGTCTCTGGCTCCACCAGCACAGCCCAGTTGCATGGACAGGCTCTCCTTGGGACACAGGATGCCAAGGGGCTCCTATGCAGGGGGAGAGGAGGGGGCATCTCCACACCTCCATCACCCTGCTGGGACCACTTGTGACCAGCGGGGAATAGCAGATTCCCCTTGCACCCTACCCAGGAGCAATGGCCCAGCTAACACCACTAACACCAGTAACACCAGTGCCCCGGGCACCCCACTGAGCCTGGACGGCCAACATGGAGCCCTCCGCCGTCCTTGGCTGTTTAACCCCAAACTAACATCTGGGTGGAGGAGCTCCTGTCACTTGTGGTACTTATTGGGGGACAGCACCCACGGGGTTGGCTCTGGCCGTGTCTGTGTTTTTCCTGCTGGTGTGGCAGCATGCGATTCCTGTGGCCATGCCCAGCTGTGCCCTCTGTGCCCCGCCCCAGCTGACAGGGCTGCCCCTCCAGGGGGGAAAAGCTGGCCAGCCGGGGGGCCGTGCCAGGCTGTTCATGGACACAGCTGCCCAGCTGAAGCCCAGCCAGTGGTGCCACGTGCCAGCCAAACTGGGCTGCCGGCCAGGGGTACGCTGGGGTGGACGCAGTGGCACAGGGTTGGGGGAGGGACCATGCGCAGTGTCCCCGGGCAGTGGCAGCTGGAGGGGGCAGGAGCTGCTGTCCCCCCTTGGTCTCATTGCTTCTGCAGGGCTTGGGGACCCTCCCATGGGGTCCCCAGGGCAAGACAGGGGACTGGACCTTGTCGGGGGGATGCTGGAGGGGTTCATCACCCCCACAGCCCACCACAAAGGTCCCGGGGATGGTGCTGGCACAGTGGGTTGGAGACGCCCCTGCCCCAGTAATAACTGGGGGGCTGGGGGCGAACTGCCCCATGGCCTCTCAAACTGCCCCATGGCAGGGAGGGGGCTCCGGGAAGACC